CCCCCTCCGCCTCCCCCCTTTCCAGGGCGGGAACCTAGAGCCTGGAACCTTCCAGGAAGGCTGGCCCCTGGGAAAGCCACGCCCACAAAGAGCCCCGGTGGCCCAGGGGGTCCAAACGCAGAAATAGCTGAGGGCTCAGGGCCGTGGCCCACGCTGTGGTGGTTTCTCAGCACGGGACTTGCAGATACGGTCTCATTCCAAAGGTCAAGGGCGGAGTTGGCAGGTCCGAAATAAATGCTGGAGAGGTGTCACCTTCCCCAGGTGGGCATGGGCCCCCGGGGTGGACCGAGGACGGAGGGGCCTGGGAGAAGTGGTTGGAGTGCTCAGCTGGCCCCTCCCCGGTGGGGCTGGGGGCTGGGGCATCTTTTACTTCTGATCATGTTGCAGGGGAGGGGCAGGATGGAGACGGAGACCCAGCCAGGCGGTAGGAGGGCACCTCCCCAGCGTCCGCCTCCTGTCCTGCAGCTTCCGGCTGCTTTTTATCCGACAACACCCATTGGTGAAGGCCCCGGTTTGCTTCCTACAGCCAGTCCAGAGCTCAGAGTTGCTCCCACCCTCAGGTCCCATCGGTGGGTTGTCCTGACCACCATGCACCTTCCTGAGTAGCCGCACCCGAGAGCAGTCCAGGCGCACGTGGGCCCCACCTGGCCCGGCGGAAGGACGGCTGGGACGGTGGAGCGTGACCACATAGCCCTTCCCAGGGGCTTCCCCCACATGCTGGCAGGAGGGTGCACTACCTCCTTCGGGGTGCCCTCCCCGGGGACATCTGAGGGTGCCAGCAGCCTCTGCATTTGTAGGTGGGACCAGGAGGCGTGAGTCGGCCCAGGGCCCAGAGGGGCCGTGTGGGGTTGCCGGTCTCGGTCTGTTTACATCCCTTCGTCAGGGTCTGCATGGGCATTAAGGTTCATCTACAGCAGCTGCTGTCCTCGCTGAGTCCCCTGGCTGGTCTCACCCTGCCCTTCCTCTAGGGACCCTGTGTCCTCTCACTGCTGAGCACCACCTGTTCACCTGCTCAGCATCACTGAGTCCCAGATGCTTTATCCAATTAAAACTTACACCAGAGTGTGAGTGGCGAGACTTTTCTGTGGCTACAATCGTGTACAACGAGCAGTTCCCGTGCTGGAATGCAAACTGCTGTGAAATCTTTTATTTTCGTTTTGTGACACAACATCAATTTCATGAGTACTTTGAAGGGGCCATTAGGGAAAATAAAAACCAAATTTGGGTCATTGAAGAAACGTTTTCACCACAATTACCGCCCGGGCCGTTCCGTCCAGGGGTTTTCCCAGGCAGAGAAGTGGACGTTCTGGTTGCTCCGCCCATGGCTTTCGCCTCAGGGCTGTCTGGTCTGCAGGCAGGTCCACGGCCCAGGAGGGGGCCAGGCGCCAGGGCTCCTCCAAGGACAGGTGAGTCCCGCTGGGCTTCGGGTCCACAGTGAGGGTCGAGGGAGCAGACTCAGCAGCAGGCCTCTCACCAGACCTGTGCCCTCACGCCCCCGTAGGTAACACCCCCGAAGCGGAACTGAGACCTTTAAAAACCCTTTGTGATGTGGCCACAGGGCGTGCAAGTGCCCTCCGGCCTCTGGTGAAGGATTGGCATGTGGGCCCGGGTCACCCTCTGGGGAACAGAGGAGGTGCAGGTGAACATCAGGGACCGAGAGCAACAGCCCCACGGCTGTCGTCCTACAAGGCGGTGGCGCAGGCCCTCCCGCGCCCGGCACCCTCTCCCGGACAGAGGGCACTGCTGGGTGCCCTCCCTGTGCTTCCGGCTCAGTTTGTCGGTTCGCTCAGCAAGTTCAGGGGCGGACGGAGCCCTGCTCTGGCCTCTGGCTCAGCCAGGACAAGAACCACAGGTTTGCGGCCTCACCTGTTGTGTTCAGCCAGCAGGCCGTCAGCAGGGTCCCGAGCTCGGAGTTGCTCTCCACCTCAGGTCCCATTGGCGGGTTGTCCTGACCGCCACTCACCTTCCCCAGCAGCCATGCCTGAGGGCAGTCCAGGCGCACCTGGGCCCTCACCTGACCAGCGCTGACGGCTCCCAGGGCCACCTTCCAGAGGGGCCTGCACTGGGGCCTAGGGAGGGCCCGGCCAGTGTCTGACCAGGTAAGTGGCCACTGGCTGTTTCGAGGGGTGCCACCCTCTGTTCTTGGTGCTACCAGGGCTGACACACAGCCCAGGGATGCATGAAATGGCTGGGCCTGGACTTGACAGTGAGGGCACGCATCACGAACAGGTCCTGGGCTGTACAGCCCACTCCCCGCCCAGCCATCCCCCATCTGCAATGCCCAGGAGGGCCGGCAGGGGACTGGGCCCCACGTGCCAGGCCAACTCTACCCTCACCCCAGCCCCTGTCACTGTGGTTCCGGCCTGAGGCTGCCAAGGGCCCTGCCCCCTCCCCATGTTGGCTGTGGGCTGGAGGACAAAGTCGCCAAGCCTGCTGAAGCCAGCGGGGCAGGAACACAGAAGGAAGCTTGGCCCAGGGCTGCGGAGACCTGCCAAGATGCCAGTCCTGTCTTTGCAGAGCAGCACCGGGTGGGGGAGGGAGCTCCTGCCACCCAGGCTCTCCCAAGGGCGCCCCACAGGGCCCCCAACCCCAACCAGGACCCAACATCCTAAAGTCCTAACAGACCACACAGTCAGCGACGACTATGACAACGAGCAGCAAACCTGGGTGGGCCCCGAGGGAGGCGTGGGGACACAACCTGCCCAAAGGGCCAGGGCTGAGAGGCCCAGCCTCCCAGCGGAGCAGAGCCCAGTGGCCTCTCTCCCGTCCTGCCCCTGCCCCTCAGCACCAGGCCACAGACCCTCTGACCCACTCAGCCCCTCCGCAGTCAGGAGCCTCCAGCACAGGAGGCAGGAAAAGATCCCAGCCCCTCCCGGACGTCCCCTCTGAAGGTCCCTTTCCCCGTTCCTTTGAGGTCGTCTGATGAGGGATTCTGTCTAACACAGATGCTGAACTCGCTTCAACCATCTTGGCTCAGCCACACTCCCCAAGTGGCCCTGAGCTTTACTTGCTTTGTGCCTCAGTTTACCCGGTGAGGAGGCTCTGATGCAGGTTGGAGGCGGTCCCTTCCTGGGCCTGGGCTGCAGGAGTGACTGGGGGAACTTACCCAGGACGCCTTTCCCGGGGACCTCCCTTGCTCCAGGAGGGAGCCAGCAGAGACGAGAATCTACCTACAGAGGCCTGTCAACTCCTGTCTAGTCAATGGAAAGACAGGTCCGGGGCCCACGTGCTCCATCCGGAAAGGCAGCGGAGTGTTCAGGGAAGATGAAGCCCCGGGGGCCACGTCCACGTGGGGATGTCGCCACCAGCCTGGGGCTCGTGGCGGGCCCAGGGCGGGTGCTAGGAGCCCTCCCGGAAGCTGTGGATCTGTGTGGAGTACTTGTGCAGGTGGCCCTCGGGCTGGGCCTCCGGGGCCCCCAGGGCGCCCCCGGCCGCCTGCTGCTGCTGGTAGTGCTGGTAGAGCTTAGGGCCAGGTCCCTCCAGGCCCGGGAGGCGACCGCTGGACATGGTCAGGATGGTGGACGTCAGCGACTTGATGTAGTTCTTGGCCAGCGTGAGGGTCTCGATCTTGGAGAGTTTCTTGTCGGCGCGCACGTGCGGGATGACCTCGCGCAGCGCCTGGAAGGCGTTGTTCAGCGT